TGCTTCAATAGGTCAGGTAAAAACCAAAAACCAACCAAAAAAACCCCACAAAACCCCTAAAAAGTATGCCTAAGAACTGCCCCTGGTGTGCCAGCTGCCAGACACTGTGCTTAAAACAACAGAAAAGGAAGGGTTTGCCTGCTTAGGTCATCAGCGCTGTGAGGGAGAGGACAGAAATTCGGCCAAGCAGCAGGGCAGGAAAGCGACATGGGAATTCTGGAGATGAGGGTCAGGATCAACACGTGGTTAATGATTTCAGATGTTAACGAGTGGAGGACCAGGCAGCACAACACCCAAGGAAATGCCAAACCAGGTGCCTGAAGCTTTCAAAGGAGTAACCGGAAAAGCGTGAGGGTGACGATGGTGATGACTGTTTGCCTCCAGGCCCAAATTCTCCCCTACCAAAAGGAGTGACCAGGGCTGGGGACAGCCACCCTCCTACAGGTGTGACACACGCCGCCACGTGCCCTATTTCAGCTGCAGACTCCCAGCTGAGGAAGACCACGCTGCTCAGCAGCAGCCTAAAGGCCCCGTTTTGGTTGGCCTTTTCTGCACAAAACATTTAGCCATAAAAACGAAACCATCTCTTCCAAGGTCTCTGTTTTCATTAACAACTTCTGCGCTCTATCTTAACTACGCTTCAGCATCAGTCAATTAAAGCACTTAAGTACAGTATCAGCAAAAGCACTGTACCTTATTGAATGAGTCAAATTCCAAGTACGGACATTTTGAATGTTGAGAAAACAAGAAAGGATGAAATTCCTCATATCTGTAAAATACACATTTGATATTATCACCTGAACACTAATTTATGTAATGCAGACTAGTAGAAAAAGAAATAAATACTTCAAATATTTACGTGTAGATATCTTCTGCTGGTTTATCTTGTTCCAGACTTGGCTTCTTCTCCTTTTTCTGGATAATATAACCCTAAAAGAATACATAAACACACCATCAGCACTTCTCTTTGAAAAGGATCCCCCTTATCTTGGCAAGGCAGCAAGTTTTAGGCGCTCACCTACCCATCAGCACGCGACTAACTCACTCTAGCAGTGAGAGCTGTGGCACAAGCGACGTCACTGAGGGAGTAAAGCCCTAACCGCTCGCTTGCCTTGACCCCAACTTATTCCAGAATAAAAAAAAAGGTGAACTTCTCTTACAAACAGCAGGACTGGGCTCCAGCTCCCCACACGAACGCACCCTCTACGAGCAGAGCCGCGTTAGGAGCACAGCTCTCACAGCACCAACGAAATCTGCTCGTCAGTTACTTAACCGCCGCACGGCCGGTGCCAGGAAGTTTTTATTCCCCATCACTACCTGGAGCTCAAGCTCACAGAATAAAACCTGAGGCCAGTAACACCAGGAACCAGCCCCACCTGGCCCCCAGTTTAATTCTGCAGTTCCTGCGTTGCTGATAACCAAGTTGCCCCACTGAGACCCACCTTTCCGTGGAAGTTGTCAGTTAGTGTCATATATTCTTCTGCTTTCTCTAAAGCAGTAAGGACTTTTTCAATATTTTCTAAAGAGAGAGCGGGGGGAGGAGAGGAATATTTTAAACCACAGAAAGATATTTTCATATAAACAGGGCACAAAAGCAAATCAACAGAAGACCCAGGCGACTGCCCTTCCAATTCAGCGCCTGAAGCAACCTGTCCGACGTAGCCACGTTGAGCTGGATTCCAGCACGTCTCAAAAATAAAATCCTTGATATCCTCTGCCCCCGGTGCTTCACTACAGCAATTTCTGTTCGTTTTAAACAGCAGCCTCGGTACACAGTTTACATTTGGGGAATTTTTAATTAAAAATATCTATATAGGTCTTTCTAAGACATAATTATCCAAGTTCCACGGGAAAAAAAAAAAAGGCCACACAAACGCTACCACTTCATCAAAATAAAACTGCAGAGGCAAAGCATCAACCAGTAGCTGTGAGAAGTTATTTGTCTGGGACAAAGTTGATTTATCAAGCACCATAATGCAGTAGGAAGTAAAAAATCCTTTTGATTTATGGCAAACATAAGCACACAAGAAAAATAAGACTACAGAAAAATCTATGCTAACTTTTACCACCCAAACCCGTGATTTCCCAATAAATGTAAAGCTGCTACTTTATCAAATCCCAACCACCTTTGCTATAGACAAAGGAAGATTTTGACACTAACTCTTCTACACAGGGTTCTTGTAAAATATCCCTCCAAATAGCCAGAGTTCACCTAATGTTTAAGGTAGTATCTCCCTACAGAATCATTTAGCCTCTAGGAGGAGGCTGGTGTTTTAATTCCAGCACAATCCAAGAGTTTTAATGTGAAAAAGGCTGTTCCCCGATCCAAAACCACCACGGCATATAACCATATGGTCAGAACTACAGGTTTAAAGATTACTCATCTCTTTGGAAAAAAAATACTACATAAAAATTACCAAGTATGTAGTACAGCCTTTACGTTGCTTCCTACATACCTTTACTTTCCATGTGCTGATCTATTTTGACATAACCAGGAAATCCAGCTTCTATAAGGCAATGCTCAATGAGAGTGGCTCCATAAGCTGTTAAAACAAACCATAACGAAGAATCACCTGTAGAAAACGGTCACAAGGAAATTCCTGTTCACATTAGTATGAGGAGGGTGTTTCAACAAGCTACACTGGGAAACTACAGTCAGTCCTTAGAGAGGCTGAGGGGAGAGAGGGCGTTTGAGGAGGCAGAGCCCAGAGAGAGCAGCTGGTCAGGGCTCCTGCGGGGCCTCTCGGAACCACTCGCTGGCTGGGCAGAGCAGCCGGGGCTCAGCTCACTGCCC